GTGTTGTGCCCATATCTTTACTCTTGATGTCCCTGCAGCAGTTTGTATATAATGAAAAAAAGACATCATTCCATAAAAATGAACACACAAGATACACAAGGTGTATCGGAAACGCAAAAGAGAAACACACAGATGCACATGATGTGCAATGAAATTATAATGGAACACACACACACAGAAGGGAAAAACAGTAGAATGAAAACAAAACAAGAAAAGAAAAAGCCGTGATCACCATGTGAATATGTTCAGGAGGCAAGAACACAATTCCCAACAGTAGGTGTGTGTGTCTTTCGTATAGGGCGAGCAGTGGGAATGATGCACACATGATGGCAGTCCACACACACAAGGAGAGAAGGAGGGTTGGTGGTGTGCGTGTTTGTGTGTTTTGTACCTCCTGCCATTCTTCACATTTCAGTCACAGCAATTACAACACATCGGGATTGTATACCATTCCCATGAGTAAAAGCAATAGTTAGTAATATCACGGAACACACACACATCACCAGGAGGACACAGTAAATGGTGGCAAAACAGAGCCCAGATAATGCGAACAAACAAACAAAGAGGACACTCCCCCCACATAAAAATGATGGTCTGTCATGTGATGAGTGCCATGGGGAGTCCAATAGATTTGTTCAGGAAAAAAAGTATGCAAACAAGAGATTTATCGAACTGAAAATGAAAATGAAGTGCTGATATTTAACCAAAAAGAACAGTTTCCCTACAAAGCATCCATATCCATTCAATCAAAGGTTAACTGTGCAGCTGTGTCATGGGAACACCGATTAGCACACGAGAGTGCAACCCAACACACACACCAGAACGATAAGCAATAAGGGACCGCGCACCAATGCAGGACTGCTGCCACCATCCTTCTTTTTCTTGGCCTTTTCTGCCTCTTCCTTGGCCCTTTCTCTCGCCATTTCCGCAGCAACACGTCTCGCCTCTTCTTCCTTGACCCTTTCTTTCGCCATTTCCGCAGCAACACGCTTCGCCTCTTCTTCCCTGGCCTTTCTCTCCGCCTCCTGTTTAGCCTTTTCTTCCTCGGCCCTTCTTTTCTTTTCTTCTTCAGCTCTTCGTGCTTCTTCCTCTTTTCTTCTCCTCTCCTCTTCAGCCTTTCTCTCATTACTCTCCCTTTCAACCCTTTCCTTTATCTTCTTTTCTTTATCCACCCACTCCTCTTTTATAAGCGAGTCTTCCTCTTTCTTCTTCTCCTCCAGGGCAACCCTGATTTCTGCTATGGCTTCTCCCCTCGTTTTTTCGGGATTAGCCGCGTGAACCTCCCTAACAATCTCTTTTATCTTCTTTTCGCTTTGATTTACCCAATTTTGGTTCTCGCCATCTTCTGCTGCCGGAACCACGTTCTTGAGTTCTTTTATAATCCAAAGAAGATCCGCAATTGACCTACTCATTGCTTGGGCGGCGAGTTTTGTCTTTTCCATGGCCATTGGTCTTACCTCGGCAACCCTAATAATTACCTCTCCCGTCGAGTTCATGAGCTTATAAAGCTCGTCGTGCCTTTCCTTGCCTCTCTCGACGAGTTCCATTCTCTCCTTTTTCTCTTCCGTTTCCTTCTTGTCCTTCAATTGATAAAGCAAAGCAGTATAGTGGTCCTTGAGTCTTTCCGCCTCGTGTTCCATGTTGTAGCCATCAACAACACAGGCCTTTTTTGTTTGGCTTACTATTTCGACAAAACGTGTGGCATCATCAACTGCTTTTTTCGTATTCTGTAGTGTTTCTTCAGCATACTTCACCAGCCTTTCACTTTCGACGAATTTATCACCCTCCTTTACAAGTACATCCGTTTTTCCCTTCATTGTTGTGATAACTTCAACCGCATTCTCGGCCTCCTTAACGGCATTCAAGGAACTCTCGTTGCAGAACTGTATTTCCTTTTCGTACACCGAAAGACAACTCCTTCCCTTCGCATACAATGAATCTGTCCGTTCCAACGACGCCTTCAATACTCTCACCGACCTCCTAATTTCCCGTTCTTCATCATCAATCTCACTGGTTGCATAGGCCACACACACACAACATTGCAGGAGTACCAACAGGTACACCACACGTCGCAGTTGGACGAACATCGTTGTCATGAATGTCACTGTGGGTTGCCTGGATCTGTGGTAACAAGGAAGAAGAAGAGAAAAAGGAGAAAAGTAGACGCACATTTAACACACAAGGCAGTGGGTACACGGCACCACAGAGAAAGGAGAGAGAGAATACACATCACAACAGCAATCAAACACAACCCAATGAGGGGAACAACAGTAAACCACTTACACAATAAAACACACCCAGAGTTACACAGATATTAAAAAACAACACCCTGAATTTAGAAGAAGTGGAAAACAAATGGTATCAAAACAATATTGAATAAACGTCTCTACACACACTCCAATATCTTACTCAGCATTCATACACACAAAGTGTGTCTGTATTCTCATTATAATAAAATCATTACCAGGCAGTTCGAACACCAAAATACACCAAAAATACAGTGTACGCCCGGCAACATACAAAAACAACACCACAAAACAATCAGCAAAACAAAGAGACTGTACAATAATAATCAACACACTTCCAAACGGAAAAAATAAGAAACCAATGCATCACCATAATATTTATACCAACACCACAATTGGAATCTAAAACCCACTTACTCACAACTATAACAAAAATGACTGCATACATCACTGTAATACCATGCCACTCTTTACAAACAGAGGCAACACACAATTACTCTCTCACACACATATTACCTCTTTATTCATCCTTATTATTATTATTTCATTTTTCCCTCAGAATGCCGGTTCGGCTCTTCTTTTTCTCCCACAGCATTATCAGCAAAAAAAAAACACGCCCACCCCGTTACTAACATTCTCCACTCCATGGTGTGAATTAGAAGGGTAATATCAAACATATCCCCTTCCACCCCCAAAAGGACCCTCACACCACGTTTTTCTTTCTGTTCTTCGTGTATTTTATGGATGTTACTCCAATGGAACGGCTATCAACCGTACACCGTAGAGCACCTAGTTACTGGCTTACGAGTGACTCTGGAGAGGAAGATCCCTTTATTTTATGGGATCCTCAAGCTCTTGTAATATGATTTTTTGTTGTAGCCCATTCCCCTACGAGAGAACTGTTCTACGAGAAATCTGATCGAGCAAACCCCACCATATCTCTCTACCCTCACTGTTCTTACCCAAAACCCGTTCTCAAGTCTCCTTTTGTTATTATTTTATTTTAATTTTTTTGTGGTAGATTGGCCCCAATGAACTCCCATTTATTTTGTTGCTTGTATTGGAAGGAGACAGGCGTCTTGAGCGTACTCTTCTATCAGGGTTTCCATATTCGAGCTCGTCGCTGATTTTAGAGAGGTGAGGGAAGTAGGCTGCGTAGGGATTCTTGGGTGTGAAGTCTGTGGCATAGTGTAGTTCCGCTCCACCGCAATAGGGAATTTTGCTAACAGCTTAGAGAAACATAGTTTCATCAGGGGTACATCATCAATTATCGCAAATTGGACTCGCTGTTAAAAAAGAGTGGGGCAACTCAAGAGGTGCAGAGCTGTTTCGTCGCGTTGGCTGGTGTGCGCGCGAGTAGATTGATACCCGTGACGTTACATTCGGTGTAGAGTTAGGCCTAATTTACTCATACACATTGACGACCCACACGTGGGGCAGACTAATGCCGGAAGGTCTCTCTTGTTTTCGTTGTTTTGTATCGTGTAGTGGCGTTCTTTTCATTATACCGCGTGCCACCGAGTAACAGGTGCGGTTGAATGTCCACACCATGTCACGAGGGGAACGGGGAAGGGTCATCTTTGCGGAATACCTTTCAAACCCATCTTACTCAGCGTTGAAGTAGGGAAAGCAAGAGTTTTCCACTATTCCCAACCCCACTCATTTTATAAGTGAAACACCCCCGGGAGCCACCCCACCCCTCTTCTTTTTGTTGCGCACAAGACGCTGTGACAAATTGGCCGCCCGCCTTGGGTTGTGGGGGTTGTGTGTTCTCCTCCTCTCCCTTCTTCGGGTGAGGGATAAAAAAAAGAAAAGGGCAAAACCCGACAACGAGCCTCGAGCATTGCGCACGTAGACTGGTTGCCGGGTTTCATCCTTTTTGTTTTCCTCATCCTCACTCTTCTTCTTCTATCAAGTTCAAAGTCCCTGAGCATGATATTTCAGGCCTCAAGGTTCAGCGCCTCGGGACGTAAAGTGCCCCTCGAGCCCCGCCGAAGCGAAGCATGCCGCTTACACAGAAACCCCACAGACGCCGCAGTGGAGTGGTCCAGCAACACAACGGTGTCCTTCCCATTCACGGTGCACACACACACGCAATGACAGTTTCACATGCTCATGTCAGAGAGGCGCTACGGCATTCCCTAAAATGTACACGGAGTCACATACCTACAGAGAGGAAAAGAAAAACCCAAGAAAAGGACAACAACAACAGGATACCAACAGCACACAAAGCACTCACAATACAATAACCACAGCTGCCACTACCATCAGAGAAAAACATTCACCCACACCTGCACATCAACTCAACCCCAAAAAGAAAACATACCAATGACCTGAAGCCGAAGTGGAACAGTCTCAGTCCATCTCCCCGCAGGCTGCAGTCACTCAAGCAAGCCACACAACAAACAACAGAAGAGCACAAATATGTTCGTGGCAATGCCGTGAGTGACAACACCGAGAGAGAAGGTGAGAACATAGAAATGTGTTTTCATTACGTGGGCGGTGTGAGTGGCAACCCAAACACACAAAGGAACACACAACAGAGGGTCACACTCAAACACCTACAACCCACCAATCTTTATACCAAAATAAAAATGTAAAAAAAAAGAGTGACTGCATGAGGCAGACACAATAATAGAGCAAAGATGTAAAAGCAAAAAAGAAATTCATTACTTACTGTGACTGCGATGCCTGGACACAGTCCAATCCACCCCAAAGGTTAACAACGGAAAATCATTGTGTACTGAACGTGCTGTGCCCATATCTTTATTCTTGACGTCCCTGCAGCAGTTTGCAAGCAATGAACAAATTAAAAATCCCTACATAAAAATGAACACACAAGATACACAAGGTGTATTAGAAACGCAAAAGAGAAACACACAGCTGCACATAATGTGCAATGGAATTATAATGAAACACAAGGGAAAAACAATAAAAGGAAAACAAAACAAAAAGAAAAAAGCCGTGATCACCATGTGAATATGTTAAGGAGGCAATAACACAATTCCCTGCAGTAGGTGTGTGTGTGTCTTTTGTACAGGGCGAGCAGTGGGAATGATGCACACATGATGACAGTCCAAACACACACACAAAGAGAAGGAAGGTTGGTAGTGTGCGTGTTTGTGTGTTTTGTACCTCCTGCCATTCTTCACATTTCAGTCACAGCAATTAAAACGCATCGGGATTGTATCTCATTCCCATGGGTAAAAGCAATAGTTAGTAATATCACGGAACACACACACACTTCATTAGGAGGACAGTAAATGGCGGCAAAACAGAGCCCAGATAATAATGCCAACAAACAAAGAGGACACTTCCCTCACAAAATGATGGTTTGTCACGTGATGAGTGCCATAGGGAGTCCAATAGATGTGTTCAGTAAAAAAATGCAAATAAGAGATTCATTGAACTGAAAAAAAAGCTGATATCCAACCAAAAAGAACAGTGCCCTATAAAGCATCCATGTCCACTCAAACAAAGGTTAACTGTGCAACTGTGTCATGGGAACACCGATCAACAAACGAGAGTGTAACCCAACACACACAACAGAAGCAACAATAAGGATCTGTGCATCAATGCAGGGCTGCTGGTGCCGTCTTTCCTTCTTTTGGTATTCTTCGCCAATTCCTCCTTTGCTTTTCTCGCCTTCTCCTCTTCAGCCAGTTTCTCCAGTTTCTTTCTTTCTTCTTCAGCCCGTTGCTGCGCCTCCGCCACCCGTTCCCTTTCCTTTGCGGCCAGTTCCTCTTTTTCAGCCAGCCTCTTTTTTTCCTCTTCTCTCGACCTTTCTTCTGCAATCCTTTTGTCCGCTTCTGCTTTTCTTTGTCGTTCCCTCTCCTCTGCTTCACTCAACAGCCTCCGTTCTTCTTCTTTTTTTTCCTGTACCACACGCTTGGTCTCTTTCTTTTTTTCTTCCTCCAGCTCTTCCACAACACCACTGGTGTTCGATGGATCGAGACGCACCGGAGCAATCATCCCCCCACCCGTACTTACCATGCTACTTTTGGGTACCTCTGTGTCCCCCACCGAAGGACCACCTGTTCCCGCAGCGCCTCCCGATTCCCCTGCCTGCTCCAACGGCTTCACAATATCCCTTAGTTTTTCCACATCGTTCTTAAATTGCACTTCCCCCTCGTCAACCAATTCCTTTACGGCAGCGAGGCCCCTGTATGCCTCCTCCATCGCGGCCTGCGCCTTCACCACGTGACCGTTGACTTCACCCGTGTGCGCGCGACTTTTGAGCGTGAATCTGTCGAGTGTCGCATATAGCTGGAGGAGACTCTCTTCCGAAGATTTACCGCGTCTGTACAGTACCTCCAAATCATTTGTCGGTTTTCTCCTATTTTCTTCTTCAATCAAACCAAAGTAGTAGGGCCGTGCGGAATCATGACGCCCACCTATCCAATCACCCATGTTCACATAAGTAATCCTACATATCTCAAACAACCTCCTGGTATTCTCGACCTCGGCACGCGCCTTGGCGACCACTCCCTTCTTGGCTTTCATCTTCTCCAATACGTCCCCCAACACCTTTCGGACCTCAGCGCTTGCCTTCTTTCCTCCTTCACTGACCACGCCTCCGTCCTTCTTCTTTGCCTCACGAACCGCCTCCAACAACGTCTTCATCTCCTTGGCCGCTTCTTCTGCGGCTGTGGAATTTGAAACACAATACTTTAAATGTCGATCCCACGTGTTCGTACATGCCGAACCCTGCGCAAGAAAATATGTCGTCTGATTCACAAAATCCTTCATATACTCCACGGCCTTTGGAACATCAGGGTCAGGTGGAGGAATATTGTTTTCGACCGCGTGGACCACAAACACACAGCACTGCAGTAATACCAACGGGTACACCACATAGCGCAGTTGGATGAACATCGTTGTCATGGTCATCACTCTGAGTTGTTTTGGATCTGTGGTAACAAGGAAGAAGAGGAAAAGGAGAAAAGTAGACGCACATTTAACACACAAGGCAGAGAGTAAACAGTAACACAGAAAGAAAGAGAGAAAGAGAATACACATCACAACAGCAATCAAACACAACAACCCAATGAAGGGAACAACAATAAACCACTCACACAATAAAACACACCCAGAGTTAAACAGACATTGAAACAACACCTTGAATTTAGAAGAAGTGGAAAACAAATGGTATCAAAACAATATTAAATAAACGTCTCTACACACACTCCAATATCTTACTCGGTATTCATACACACAAAGTGTGTCTGTATTCTCATAATAATAAAATCATTACCAGGCAGTTCGAACACCAAAATACAACAAAAACACAGTGTCCACCTGGCAACATACAAAAACAATACCACAAAAATATAATCAGCAAAACAAAGAGACTGTACAATAATCAACACACTTCTAAACAGAAAAAATAAAGAAACCAATGCATCACCATAATATTTATACCAACACCACAATTGGAATCTAAAACCCACTCATCCATAACCATAACAAAAATGACTGCCTACATCACTGTAATACCATGCCACTCTTTACAAACAGAGGCAACACACAATTACTCTCTCACACACATTACCTCTTTATTTATCCTTATTACTATTATTTTATTTTTTCCCTCAGAATGCCAATTCACCTCTTCATCTCCCTCAGCATTATCAGCAACAAAAAAAAAACACCCACCCAATTACACACACGTCCCTTACCTCATAGTGTGATTGAGGAGGGCATGATCATATATATCCCTCTCCCACCCCCCACCCAAAAAGGACCCCACACACCACACTACCACGTTTTTCTTTTTGTTCTTTGTGGCTTTATGGATATTAATCCAATGGAACGGGTCATCAAGAGTAATACATAAATATACATAAATACAATTTATTTTTATATTATTTTTTACTACCGTTGGGCATGGTGAGTGCGCATTGGTAATGAAATTACAATGGATCTCGTAGGTGGCAGAGCATGGATTTTTTTCACCTCTCTGAGTCCCCTCAGCAGCCAAATCTAATTTCCACCACTGGAGGGAATAATTGTTACTATCTCTAGGGTCTGTGCCTCTCCCTAGCAGCATTCGCACCAAAGTGAAATATGTAAAAGAAACTGCTTCTGATGGCAAACTGATACGCGCCCCAGGATCTTCTTGGATAAAGTTTTCTCCCAGTACGACTCTGCTGATCCCGGTGCTGTATGACGTTTGTAGCTTATGAACCCGTAAACTCTCAAGAAGAGAATTTGCTGGCCCATTGCCTCCCTCAAAAGAATAGGGGATAATGAGCATCGGCTCCAACTTTCGATGGCTAAACGCCAATAAAGGGAAAGCCATTCCTAAGAACGCATGTATTGAAAATAAAAATAAAAAGAATTTATTTTTTTAAGGAGACCTCCCACTTCAAACATTTGGTGAGTGAGTTTGGTTTCTTTGAATAAATTCATATCCCCCACACCCTGACGACATATGAAGGCGGCCCTCATTGCCGAAGGCATCTTGTTCCAAAACCCCACCCACGGCGGCCACCACAACCCAACCAAACCAATGGGAGGCAGAGGCCCGCAGCCAGAGCGCAACGCGCGGTGCCGCAAACAAAAGCGCAGACACCACCACCAGCACATGTAGAAAACACAAATCACAACGGCAAACACCGGCCGGCGCGCCTGGCACCCCCAAAAAAAAAGGGAGGGGGTCCGACCCCGCCACACGGACAAGTCCGAGACGGCCCGGGACACCGCCTAACTCCACCAAGGCGGAGCAGCACAACGACACAGAGGCCACGAACGACCAAAAGAAGAATAACAACGAGTAGAACACCAAAATAGCAGAGGCGCAACTGTTGTAGAGGCCGCCTGCTTCGACCAGAAAACTGCCACCCCACCCCGGCGCCACCAGCCGGCCAAAGTTGTGACAGACGGCGGCGGCGACGCCACCAGGCCGGCACAACCCAAAACACCGGAATAACCCAACACCTACAAGGGTTAGCTTGCGTGCGAAAATGTGCCCCAATACCACCGTAACGAGGCCCAGTGGGGCACAGGAGCGGGAAACGCACGGCACTCGCAAAACTGAAAATTCACCCCTGGAGGTGGGGCTGGGAAGGGCACCCCGGGGAGCATAATATGTTCTATTGCGGGTATATCGGGTACGACCATACTTGGCCGAATGCACCGTATCCCGTCCGATTTGCGAAGTTAGGCGGCCACAGGCCTCGTTAGTACGGCGATCAGTGATGGGGCTGGAACCCGGGGTGCCGCACCCTCCTCAACTTTTTTTTTTTTCCAACATCATGGGGTAGGTGCCGCCAGCCTCTGAAGTGAATCACGGCGCGCCTTTGGCAATGGGGGCTGCCCAATCGCGGCGCACAGCTTACACACTTCCATCCCCCAGGGAAAAGCCAAACATGCCTCACACATTGTTGTGGTGGGGCAGGCGGTGGGGCCCCAACAAACCAAAATACCTATGAGGCAATATGTTCTTATGGGGCGAAGTGTGTTCTTATTATACTTGTTTTTCCTTTTCTGCATTTCCCATGGATATTTCCTTTTCACACCACACATGGCAGTAGGAGAACGCCTTAACATATCACCATAGCGGAATTTGCCTTTATCATGGGAGTTTGGTGAATCCCTTCTCTTTGTTCTTTTTGTTCATGGTGTGGGCCATCCAACAGCACCCCTTATTCGGTGGCACGCGGCACCATGATGTCATGAGGTGAACGGGGAAGTGTCATCTTTGCGGAATACCCTTCAAACCCATCTTTCCCAGCGTTGAAGTGGGGAAAGCAAGAGTTTTCCACTATGCCCAATCCCACTCATTTTATAAGTGAAACACCCCAGGGAGCCACACCACCCCTCTTTTTTTTGTTGCGCACAAGACGCTGACAAATTGGCCGCCCGCCTTGGGTTGTGGGGGTTGTGTGTTCTCTCTCCTCTCCCTTCTTGGGGTGGGGGATAAAAAAAGAAAAGGGCAAAACCCGACAACGAGCCTCGAGCATTGCGCACCTAGACTGGTTGCCGGGTTTCATCCTTTTTTTTTTCCTCATCCTCACTCTTCTTTTTCTCTCAAGTTCAAAGCCCCTGAGCATGATATTTCAGGCCTCAAGGTTCAGCGCCTCGGGACGCAAAGTGCCCCTCCCCGAGCCCCGCCGAAGCGAAGCATGCCACACACACACAAACCCCACCACAGAGGCCGCAGTGGAGTGGTCCAACAACACAACGGTGTCCTTCCCATTCACGGTGCACACACAGAATGACAGTCTCACATGCTCATGTCAGAGAGGCACTGCGGCATTCCCTAAAATGTACACGGAGTCACACAGCTACAGAGAGAAAAAGAAAAACACAAGAAAAACAAAAACAACAGGATACCAACAGCACACAAGGCACTCACAATACAATAATCACAGCTGCCACTCTCAGCAGAGAAAAACATTCACCCACACCAGCACATCAACTCAACCCCAAAAATAAATAAAAAACGGACCCAATACGTGAAGCCGAAGCGGAACAGTCTCACTCCACCTCCCCACAGGCTGCAGTCACCCAAGCAAACCACACACACCACAGGGGTACAAATATGTCCCTGGCAATGCCGTGAGTGGCACCACCGAGAGAGAAAGTGAGAACAAAGAAATGTATTTTCATTACGTGGGCGGTGTGAGTAGCAACCCAAACACACACAGGAACACACAACAGAGGGGCAGACTCAAACACCTACAACCCACCGATCTTTATACCAAAATAAAAATGTGAAAAAAAAGAGTGACTGCGTGAGGCAGACACAATAGTAGAGCAAACATGTAAAAAAAAAAGAAATTCATTACTTACTGTGGCTGCGATGCCTGGACACAGTCCAATCCACCCCAAGGTTAACAATGGAGAATCATTGTGGACTGAACGTGCTGTGCCCATATCTTTATTCTTGATGTCACTGCAGCAGTTTGTATATAATGAAAAAAAAAAAGAATCATTCCATAAAAATGAACACACAAGATACACACGGTGTATCGGAAACGCAAAAGAGAAAAACACACAGATGCACATAATGTGCAATGAAATTATAATGAAACACACACACACAAGGGAAAAACAATGAAATGAAAACAAAACAAGAAGAAAAAAAAGAAAGCCGTGATCACCAAGTGAATATGTTCAGGAGTCAAGAACACAATTCCCAACAGTAGGTGTGTGTGTGTCTTTCGTACAGGGCGAGCAGTGGGAATGATGCACACATGATGACAGTCCACACACACACACACACACAGACAAAGAGAAGGAGGGTTGGTAGTGTGCGTGTTTGTGTGTCTTGAACCTCCTGCCATTCTTCACATTTCATTCACAGCAATTGAAACACATCGGGATTGTATCTCATTCCCATGGGTAAAAGCAATAGTTATTAATATCACGGAACACACACACACACATCACCAGGAGACCACAACAAAATGGTTGCAAAGCAGTGCCCATATAATAATGCCAACAAACAAAGAGGACACTCCCCTCACAAAATGATGGTTTGTCATGTGATGAGTGGCACAGGGAGCCCAATAGATGTGTTCAGTAAGAAACGCAAACAAGAGATCTATCGAACTGTGAAAATAAAAAAACAATAAAATTCAATAAAAAGAACAGTGCTCTTACAATACATCCATATCCACTCAAATAAAGGTTAACTGTGCAGCTGTGTCATGGGAACACTGATCAACACCGCAGTGCAACCCAGCACACACAACAGAAGCAGCAGTAAAGGACTGTGCACCAATGCAGGACTGCTGCTGCCGTCTCTCTTTTTTTTCTTCTTCTGCGGAAGCTCCTCTTCCACTGCCCGTTTCGCCTTTTCTTCCATAGCCTTTTCTGCTGCCTGTCTCGCTTTTTCTTCCTTGGCTTTTTGTGCCGCCGCCAGTCTCGCCTTTTCTGCTGCCTGTCTCGCTCTTTCTACTTCTTTGGCTTTTTCTGCTGCCTGTCTCACTCTTTCTACTTCTTTGTCTTTTTCTGCTGCCTGTCTCGCTCTTTCTTCTTCCCTGGCCCTTTCTGCAGCTCTTCTCGCTTCTTCCTCCCTCCGCATCTTTTCTTGGGCAACCTCATCCTTCTTCTCCTCCATTCCCGTGGTAACATTCTTGATTGCCTCCGTCACCCTTCTGTTAACCTCATCGGCGTACTCCTTCCTTTCCTTCTTCGCGTCTTCACCCACTGCACCAACTGTATCCGTAGCTTTCTTAATTTCTTTCTGGGGTTCCGCTATAAGCCCGCTTATTTCCTCAAGCTGCGATTTTTTTTCCTCAATCTTACACTTCTGATTGCTGCCTAACGGCGTCGAACCTTCCAGTTTTGCAAGTCGCTCTAGCTCTGCGTACGCCTCTTTCCAATCCTGTACCAGGGTTTTTATCCTCCCCACTGCAAATCTGTTCTGTACTGTAACATTGTCAATTAGAGCCGTGACATTTCGCAATGTGGCGTTTATTCCCTCGGCCACCCTCTTCACCAACATTGCTTTATCACTCCTATTATAATCTCCCACAAAAGTAGTAATGCCCTCGACCTTCCTTTCAATATCAATCAAAACATGGGCCACGTTGGAACGCGTGGCTTTACACAGGAGCTCCGCTTGTTTGGCCTCGGCAATTTTAAATACCACCTCTTTTCCTGGTGCCTTTTCTTTTGTCTCTTTCAGTACCTTCGGTATTTCCTGAAGTAATTTATCTAATTTCTCTCCGTCACAGGCGTCCTTCAGCTTCATAGTCGTTATTTTACCGTATTTGTCCTTCGTTTCCCGATCCGCCACCTCATCAATTTTTTTGATAATACCCTTAATTCTCTCGGTGGCCCCCGCGGCATCCTTAACCGTCTTCTCATTTGCTTCAACCACCTTTTTCCACTCGGACATACAGGCCGTTCCGTTCTTAAAGTGAATCTCGGATTCCTTGACGGTCACCAATGTCTTCCAGACTGCATCCTTCAAATCAGCGTTTCCAGATTCCCCCAGAATATCGTTTTCTCCGAGCTCTTCCCTGGTGAAGTTTGGAATATCCAAATACGTCTCCCACGCCCTTTCTTGGTCCATCACTGCCGCCTCAACATCATTGTTTGCAACCTCTGTTACAACTTCCTTTTCTCCCTCTGCGAGAACCAAAACAGAAATGAAGTGAAGAAACACCAACAGGCACACCACACGGCGCAGATGGACGAACATCATTGTCATGATTATCACTGTGAGTTGCATGGGTCCGTGGCATCAAAAAAGAAGAGGAAAAGGAGAAAAGTAGACACACATTTAACACACAAGGTAGTGGGTACACAGCAACACAGAGAAAGGAGAGAGAGAATACACATCACAACAGCAATCAAACACAACCCAATGAGGGGAACACAACAATAAACCACTCACACACAATAAAACACACCCAGAGTTACACAGATATTGAAACAACACCTTGAATATAGAAGAAGTGGAAAACAAATGGTATCAAAACAATATTGAATAAACGTCTCTACACACAATCTCCAATATCTTACTCGGTATTCGTACACACAATGTGTGTCTGTATTCTCATTATAATAAAACCATTACCAGGCAGTTCGAACACCAAAATACACCAAAAACACATGGTGTGCGCCTGGCAACATACAAAAACAATACCACAAAACAATCAGCAAAACAAAGAGACTGTACAATAATCAACACACTTCCAAACAGAAAAGATAAAGAATCCAATGCATCACCATAATATTTATACCAACACCACAATTGGAATCTAAAACCCACTCATCCATAACCATAACAAAAATGACCGCATACACATCACTGTAATACCATGCCACTCTTTACAAACAGAGGCAACACACAATTACTCTCTCACACACATATTACCTCTTTATTCATCATTATTATTATTACTATTTTATTTTTTTCCTCAGAATGCCGGTTCACCTCTTCTCCCACAGCATTATCAGCAACAAAAAAAAAACACCCACCCAATTACACACACGTCCCTTACCTCATAGTGTGATTGAGGAGGGCATGATCATATATATCCCTCTCCCACCCCCCACCCAAAAAAAGAACCCACACCACACCACACCACCATGTTTTTCTTTCTGTTATTCGTCACTTTATGGATATTAATCCAATGGAACGGGCCATCAAGAATAATACATAAATATACATAAATACAATTTGTTTTTATATTATGTTTTACTACCGTCGGGCATGGGGAGTACGCATTGGTAATGAAATCACAATGGATCTCGTAGGTGGCAGAACGTGGATTTTTTTTTCGCCTCTCTGAGTCGCCTCAGTAACAGCCATGTCATCCAGTGGCGGAAATCAGATTTGGCCGCTGAGGGAATAATCGTTACTATCTCTAGGGCCCGCGCCTCTCCCCAGCGGCATTCACACTAAAGTGAAATATATAAAAGAAATTGCTGCTGATGGCACGCTGACACGCGCCACAGGACCTTCTTGGATAAAGTTTTCTCCCAGTACGATTCTGCTCTTCCCGGTGCTGCATGACGTTTGTCGCTTATGAACCCGTAAACTCTAAAGAAGAGAATTTGCTGGCCCATGGCTTCTCAAAAAAGAATAGGGATAATGGACATTGGCTCCAACGTTCGATGGCCAAATACCAATAAAGGGAATGCCATTCCCAAGAACGCATGTATAGAAAAGAAAAATAAAAAGAATTTGGTTTTTAAGGAGACCACCCAGTTCAAAAATTTAGTGAGTGAGTTTGGTTTCTTTGAATAAATTCATATACTCCACCTTAGCACCATATGAAGGCAGCCCTCGTTAACAGGGGCATCTTGGTGTAAAACCCCGCCCACGGCGGCCACCCCAACCCAACCCATGGGAGGCAGAGGCCCACAGCCAGAGCGCAACACGCGGCGTCGCAAACAAAAGCGCAACCACCACCAGCACATCTAGAAAACACAAATCACGACGGCAAAAACCAGATGGCGCGCCTGGCACCCCCCAAAAAAATACAGGGGTGGGGGTCCGACCCCGCCACACGGACAAGTCCGGGACGGCCCGGGACACCCCCTGACCCCACCAAGGCGGAGCAGCACAACGACACAGAGGCTGCGAACGACCAAAAGAAGAATAAAAACCAGCAGAACACCAAAATAGCAGAGGCGCGGCTATTGTAGGGGCCGCCTGCTTCGACCAGAAAACTGCCGCCCCACCCCGGCACCACCAGCCGGCCAAAGTTGTGACAGACGGCGGCAGCGACGCCACCAGGCCGGCACAACCCAAAACACCGGAACAACCCAACACCTACAAGGGTTAGCTTGTGTGCGAAAATGTGCCCCAATACCACCGCAACGAGGCCCAGTAGAGCACAGGGGCCGGAAACGCGCGGCGCTCGCAAAACTGAAAATTCATCCCCCGGAGGTGGGGCTGGGAAGGGCACCCCGGAGACCCCCCCCCCCGGGAGCATAATATGTTCTTTTGCGGGTATTTCGGGTACGACCATACTTGGCCGAACGCGCCATGCCCCGTCCGATTTGTGAAGTTAAGCGGCCACAGGTCTCGTTAGTACGGCGGTCAGTGTTGGGGCGCCGTGCCCTCCTCAACTTTTTTTTTTGCCAACATCTTGGGGTGGGTGCCGCGGGCCTCTGACGCCAACCACGGCTCGCCTTTGGCAATGGGGGCTGTCTTATCGCGGCGCTCAGCTTACGCACCTCCATCCCCCAGGGAAAAGCCAAACATACTTCACACATTATTGTGGTGGGGCAGGCGGTGGGGCCCCAACAAACCAAAATACCTATGGGGGAATGTGTTCTTATGGGGGAAAGTGTTCTTATGGGGGAAAGTGTTCTTATGGGGGAAGGTGTTCTTATGGGGGAAAGTGTTCTTATGGGGGAAAATGTTCTTATGGGGGAATGTGTTCTTATGGGGGAAAGTGTTCTTATGGGGGAAAGTGTTCTTATGGGGGAAAGTGTTCTTATGGGGGAAAGTGTTTTTATTGTGCTTATTTTTCCTCCTCTGCATTTCCCATGGATATTTCCTTTTCACACCACACATGGCAGTAGGAGAACGCCTTAACATATCACCATAGCGGAATTTGCCTTTATCATAGGGAAGGAAGGAATCTCACCCTCATGTTCTTTGTTCATGGTGCCGCGTGCCACCGAGTAAAAGGCGCGGTTGAATGGCCACACCATGTCATGAGGGGAACGGGGAAGGGTCATCTTTTGCGGAATACCTTTCAAACCCTTCTTACCCAGTGTTGAAGTGGGGAAAGAAAGAGTTTTCCACCATTCCCAACCCCACTCATTTTATAAGTGAAACACCCCCAGGGAGCCACCCCACCCCTCTTTTTCTTGTTGCGCACAAGACGCTGACAAATTGGCCGCCCGCCTTGGGTTGTGGGGGTTGTGTGTTCCCTCCTCTCCCTTCTTGGGGTGAGGGATAAAAAAAAAAAAAAGAAAAGGGCAAAACCCGACAACGAGCCCCGAGCATTGCGCGCGTAGACTGGTTGTCGGGTTTCATCCTTTTTTTTCCTCATCCTCACTCTTCTTTTTCTCTCAAGTTCAAAGTCCCTGAGCATGTGATATTTCAGGCCTCAAGGTTCAGCGCCTCGGGACGTAAAGTGCCCCTCCTCGAGCCCCGCCGAAGCGAAGCATGCCATTCAGAAACCCCACAGACGCCGCAGCGAAGCGTCCCAGCAACACAACGGTGTCCTTCCCACTCACAGTGCACACACACATAATGACAGTCTCATATGCTCATGTCAGAGGGGCACTACCGCATTCCCTAAAATGTACACGGAGTCACTTACCCACAGAAAGGAAAAGAAAAACACAAGAAAAGAACAACAACAGGATACCAACAGCACACAAAGCACTCACAATACAATAATCACAGCTGCCACTCCCATCAGAGAAAAACATTCACACACACCAGCACATCAACTCAATCCCCAAAAAGAAAAAAAAAACAGACCCATTACGTGAAGCCGAAGCGGAACAGTCCCAGTCCCTCCCCGCAGGATGCAGTCACTCAAGCAAGCCACACAACAAATAACACACACCACAAACAACACAAACTCAGAAATGTGTCCGTGGCAACGCTGTGAGTGACAACACCGAGAGAGAAGGTGAGAACAAAGAAATGTGTTTTCATTACGTGGGCGGTGCGAGTAGCACCCCAAACACACAAAGGAACACACAACAGAGGGGCACACTCAAACACCTACAACCCACCAATCTTTATACCAAAATAAAAGTGTAAAGAAAAAGAGTGACTGCATGAGGCAGACACAATAATAGAGCAAAAATGCAAAAAACAAAAGAAATCCATTACTTCCTGTGGCTGCTATGCCTGGACACAGTCCAATCCACTCCAAGGTTAACGACGGAAAATCATTGTGTACTGAACGTGCCGTGCCCATATCTTTATTCCTGTTGTCCGTGGAGGAGTTTGTATATAATGAAAAAAAAAAATCATCCCATAAAAATGAACACACAATATACACAAGGTGTATAGGAAACGCAAAAGAGAAACACACAGCTGCACATAATATGCAATGAAATTATAATGAAACACACACAAGGGAAAAAACAACAGAATGAAAACAAAACAAAAAGAAAGCCGTGATCACCATGTGAACACGTTCAGGAGACAGCGACACAATCCCAGCAGTAGGTTTGTGTGCCTTTCGTACAGGGCGAGCAGTGGGAATGATGCACACATGATGACAGTCCACACACACACACACACACACACAAAGAGAAGGAAGGTTGGTAGTGTGCGTGTTTGTGTGCCTTGAACCTCCTGCCATTCTTCACATTTCAATCACAGCAATTATAACACCATTGGGATTGTATCTCATTCCCATGGGTGAAAGCAATAGTTAGTAATATCACGGAACACACACACACTTCATTAGGAGGGCACAGTGAACGGCGGCAAAACAGTGCCCAAATAATAATGCCAACAAACAAAGAGGACACTCCCCCAACAAAATGATGGTTTGTCGTGTGATGAGTGACATAGGGAGTCCAATAGATGTGATCAACAAAAAATGCAAACAAGAGATTTATCGTGCTGGATGGAGAAAAAAAAAAACAGTAAAATTCAATAAAAAGGTACAGTGCCCTTACAATGCATCCATGTCCAGTCAAACAAAGGTTAACTGTGCAACTGTATTATGGGAACACCGATCAGCAAACGAGAGTGGAGCCCAAAACAGTCAGAACAAGAAGCAGCAATAAGGGAACGTGAACCAATGCAGGACTGACGCTGTTGTCATTCTTCTTAGCCGCTTCTGCTTTTTTTCTCGCCTCCTCCGCTGCCCGTTCCAGCTGTTCCTTTTCCGTTTTCTCCAGTGCATCTTTAGCCTCTTGGGCCCGTACTTCTCTTTCTTTTTGCTCCTGCGCCTCTCTTGCCTTTTGGGCCTGTACTTCTCTATCTTTTTGCTCCTGCGCCTCTCTTGTCTTTTGTGCCTGTGCTTCTCTTTCTTTTTGCTCCTGCGCTTCTCTTGCCCTTTGTGCCTGTACTTCTCTTTCTTTTTGCTCCTGCGCTTCTCTCTCTCTCTGGGCTCGTTCTTCAATCCTTTTATTTTTATCAGTCTCTTTCTCTTGTTCCACCAATTTTTTTTCATTTTCAATTGCCTGTTTTATTCTCGCATCAACTGAGTTTTCCTTCGGTCCTGTATTTTTATTGGGTCTCCAGTTTTCGATTTTCTTAACAAAAGTATCAATTTCGCCTGTAATGTTAGTAATGTTATTCTTAATTCCCTCGTCCTTTGAGCCAACGCCCAATGTTTCCCCTGGTTTGATCTTCTCAAGCTTTTCCTTTGCTTCATTTAGTTGTTTCTTGGCTGCCTTCACACGATGCTCAACGTTCACTTTTGTGGCTTGACTCCAACCCTTCAAATCCTTTAGTCTTTTCGTGATGTTTTGTAATTCGAAGTATGTTTTATTGCTTCTCTCTGCAGTTTCCACCCTTTCGATCGTCCAGTACGTTTCATTTCTCATTGCGACTCTTTCGTGTATATAAATATCAATCTCTTTTTTGAACCCATTCTGCGCTTCCTCCAATGTTCCACGTTTATGTCCGCAAAACCATTCTGCTCTCCATGTATCAAGGACGGATGATCTGGTGTTATCCACAGCTTCTTTAACCTTTCTCACCAAATCCTCTAGAATCTCCACATCCTTGGCAACGAGCTCAGTTTGATCGCCCACCGTTTGTTCCTCTTCGATTTTCTTTACAAGTCCACCGACCTTTATCGCACTGGTGTTCGCAAGCTTTGAGGTTTCGTTTGCAGTGTTCACAACAGCATCCCATACAGACCTACAACCTCTTCCATCCGCAAGGTAATCATCTACAATCCTTATCCACTCTGCTAACCTTTTCTCCACCATCGGACAGATCTCAGGGTCACACGGTTCTGGTTTTTTCACTTCGGCCTCCGAATCTTCATCGCTTTTTTCTACGTGAGCAGTTACAGTAGGACCTTCGGAAGATTCACCTCCCACAGCAGTATTTGCATGGCTCACGAAAGCCACGCACTGCAGAAGTACCAACAGGTACACCACACCACGCAGTTGGACGAACATCGTTGTCATGATTGTCACTGTGGGTTGCTTGGATCCGTGGTAACAAGGAAGAAGAGGAAAAGGAGAAAAGTAGACACATTTAACACACAAGGCAGACAGTACACAACAACACAGAAAGAGAGAGAGAGAATACACATCACAACAGCAATCAAACACAACCCAATAAGGGGAACAACAATAAACCACTCACACAATAAAACACACCCAGAGTTACACAGATATTGAAACAACACCTTGAATATAGAAAAAGTGGAAAACAAATGGTATCAAAAACAATATGAAATAAACGTCTCTACACACAATCTCCAATATCTTACTCGGTATTCATACACACAAAGTGTGTCTGTATTCTCATTATAATAAAACCATTACCAGGCAGTTCGAACACCAAAATACACCAAAAACACAGTGTCCACCTGGCAACATACAAAAACAATACCACAAAACAATCAGCAAAACAAAGAGACTGTACAATAATCAACACACTTCCAAACAGAAAAGATAAAGAAACCAATGCATCACCATAATATTTATACCAACACCACAATTGGAATCTAAAACCCACTCATCCATAACCATAACAAAAATGACCGCATACACATCACTGTAATACCATGCCACTCTTTACAAACAGAGGCAACACACAATTACTCTCTCACACACACATATTACCTCTTTATTTATCCTTATTACTATTATTTTATTTTTTTCCTCAGAATGCCGGTTCACCTCTTCTCCCACAGCATTATCAGCAACAAAAAAAAAAAACACCCACCCAATTACACACACGTCCCTTACCTCATAGTGTGATTGAGTAGGGCATGATCATATATATCCCCCTCCCACCCCCCACCCAAAAAAAGAACCCACACCACACCACCACGTTTTTCTTTTTGTTCTTTGTGGCTTTATGGATATTACTCCAATGGAACGGGTCATCAAGAGTAATACATAAATATACATAAATACAATTTATTTTTATATTATTTTTTACTACCGTTGGGCATGGGGAGTATGCATTGGTAATGAAATTACAATGGATCTCGTAGGTGGCAGAGCATGGATTTTTTTCACCTCTCTGAGTCCCCTCAGCAGCCAAATCTAATTTCC